CAAGTAAGTGCTTGAGGTCATGGAGATTAGAGGTCAAATAAAAGAATTTATAAGAAAATGCTATCTTATGCTAATATATGAGCTCAAGGAAAATCCCGTAGGCTTCACCACATTTAAGAAATTATTCAATTTCCTATAATTTAATATATAGATTATCTAATTTCCCTGATTTCAACTAGAGTGACATATTTAAGAATTAATTTTAAGTACATTTTTTAAGCTATTAAAGACTTTTTACTGTAAAAACTTAAGCCACTTAAAGGTGACATAAAGGAGATCAAATTGTCTACCTTTGCTTTAAAAATGAGTTAATTTAACCCCTTAATCTCTATGACCTCATAAACAATCCTAGTTTGTCAAACCTTAACGTAATTAAAACCTAACACAATACTTTCTGGCTATAATGAAAAATGTATTTAAGCAGTCCATTTCACAGAGCATAGCATACCAAATCATCTGAACAATACAATGTCTTCCTTACGACTTGCCTATATTTTTGCAATTTTTGGGCTCCTTGCCTTTTACCTTAGTGACAAAACAGTAGCAGAAGATGAGGATGAAAGTTCGGCTGATTCGGATTCCTATGATTCCGAGTCCTACAATGACTCTTATGAAGATGGAAGTCAAGATCAAGAAGAAGGCTCAAATGACGGAGAAGAAGATGCGGCACCAGACGACGCATAAATTCAATAATTAGCAATAAATATTTACCATATATATTTTAGATGTGCTTAATAAAAGTCTTTATTTAACTGACTTGATATTTTTGCTCTGCCTGATGCAGAAGATCATCATTAATATTGTTTCAGAGGACGGAGGATTGGGTATGTTCCACAAGTTTACCGAATCAATCTGATCAATTCCCAAAGAGATTAAACCAACCTAAAGAAAAATATATTTTATTTTGTTATCAGAAATCATTTCTACCCCACAGATATTCTTTCTACTTTTGGGAACACATTTTATTACAGTTATGTGGAAAGCATATTTAGTTCCAAATGATGAGTTACGATTATTACGGCTCCCTGTGTAAACTGCTTTACTAAACAGAATGTTATCGTATATTCTAGTTAGATCTAGGATCCGTAATAGCTAAATTATTTTGGATAGGTCAAAATTTAAGGGTTAACGAAATTAAATGGTACCACAGAGCTGAGGATTTTGGACTTTAAATAAACTTATTTGCTGTTTTACTTCGAAAACCTAAGCTACCTCTTGAGTCGTACTTAATACTGTAGTTATCTAATTATTAGTAAATATTAGCACAAAATTACTTATTAGATATGGTAATAACGATAATTATGTTTATCTATCAGTATTCCTTATTGCAAATGTATGCTACTTTACAGTTCTAGTCTCTACGAGCTGATGATAGATATAGGCCATTCTAACCTTAATGCATAATCTCGCTCAATGTCAACTTCATGATCTACTCTGATAGGTAAAATATTGGTTAAAAGGGGCCGATGATTAACAAGTTTTAAAAGACAAATAATACCGTATTTATTAATTTTATATTTTGAATACTACATAGCTCGGTAAATAATATTATTGTATTATTTGCTCATTCAATAGAGCAAAAAAAAGTCTCATGCAAATGATATGAGAAAAAATTCGTCTTACTTAAGAAAATGCTAGTTATTTAATAAAAATAGGTCTTATTATAAGAAAAGAATATTCTATAGAAATTATTTGCTATGAAAATTAGTATTATTATTTCATAAAATTTATGCAGCCCAGTTTTTTTCGTAAATTTGGTTGACATTTTTATTAAATAATATAATTAATATATTACCCTAAATATAAGCATTACTTTGGACACTTAATGTCAATCCAGATAAAGAAGATGAGTTCTGCATAGCATTATTGTTTGCGAAATTAAGTAATCAGAATACATACTTGGTATTCACTATAATAAAACAAAGAATAATTTTGGCTTGCGATTTTGGTCTATCACTAAATATTTAATACAGAGACTAGCACATGTGCACGCAAACTTATAACAAACTGATTAACAGAGGGAGACTCTAAAAGAGAGCCTAACCGAGGAAAGCGTTAGTATTTCCTTATGCACAGTCATGGCATTCCATTTTTCCAGTTTTTCGCCAATCTTTTTTGAAAGCTGGAAAAAAGGTAACACCATGAATCTGAGCGAAGTAATATCTAGTTTTCTGTTTTTTTCCTAAATAATTATTCTACTCACTAAAATTCTTACTAATACGAAATTCAGAATAAATAAAACTAACGGATAATTGTTGTCAACCAAGATTTGTTAGACTTGATCCTGGTGGTTTAGGTCCGTTTGGTGTAAACTGCTTAATTTTATTAATTTTTTTACTTCTAACCAGATGCCGCAAATACGATTTGTGAAAAAATTTAGGAGTCCCTCATTTATGGATATCCTATACGCACCCTTTCAAATTTCCTTCTTGCCTTATTAGGTAGGTCATTTTATGAAGGTATATTGCTTTCCCATATAAACTTCATATATATTTGCAAATATTCCAGACTCTATTTGCCATGCTTTTGGATAGCAAATTTGTCATCCATATATTGACTTATAGTTTGAGAATTATTAGTCCTTTTTAAAAATCCGGAACTTTAAGTGCCCCATGCAGTTATTGGCTAAAACTGAAGCAAACATGATCCCATACCCAAACCTCTAGTTTGTTCATATAATTTATAATTAACGTTGACATAGGTGCTATTTAATATTAAATTCATTAATCTTAAGATTTACTCCTTTCTCTTCATATTTACTGAAATAGCCACTCGTTGTTGTTCTTAGGCTAATCCTACAACCGGTATGGTCCAAATGACCCGTATATTAGTATAAATTGACAATAAAGTAAATCATCATAGCAATTCTTCTCGCTATATAATTGGCTCGCCTATTAAATTATTAAAATCATAAGAATTCCTTGGTAAAAATTTCCAAAAGTCAGAGATTTGCCTTAATTTGACACAAGTAAATCGTGATTATGTTTTTAACTAAGCCTCGCTTCAACAAAATATTTTTGCTATAAATATGCAGAAGTTAAGGCATTAAAAATGATTAATGATAAAAATATCATGGCCTTCTTGGCTAAACTTCTTTATGAGTTCTATTGGATAGAATTAAAGGTTTATATACTAAAATAAAAAATAAACTTATTTTATTAGAATAATAATAATGAATGCGTAATAATAGATGTATTAACTTAAAAGGAGGTAAAGTATACTAAATTATTTATTAATGCATAAATTATATTTAACTTTGCTGTTGGACGATATTCTGTGATAAAAGGGACTAAAATATTTAAATTATTAAAAACATTCCTAAGAAAATAGAAATTAATTTTTCTAATGCCTCTTTACTAGGTACTCTCTCTAACTGATTATTTGGGTACAGCCTGTTTTATATAATTGTTTCATACCTTGCAAGATACTTTCCTATTAACGATTTATTAACTAGTACCTGCTAATTATAAGATAAGAGCCAATATCGTATTGTCTCGTCATTTGAATAAAGCATTTTGTTGACTTAGTTGTCACACATACTCATTCAGAATTCGAAGGTCATATTCTGACTTGGAGTTTTTTCGCAGAAGGTAAATAAGGGCCATCAATTTACCTCCTATACAACAATAAGCAAACTAGTCTCATACATCTAATTATAATGTATGCAAATAACGAAACGTCATGTATGACAAAATTCTACTAAAAAATATATCTTCTAGGGACCCAAGATCTAGGTAACAGATAAGATAGAAGTA